ACATGGATATTTTTTCTCAAAAAATTTTATAGCAGCTAATAAATAATAATCTTATCAGTCGCCATTAACACCATTATGACAAAAGTAACTGCTACCCAAAATTGCGAAGCGCTATCGTATTGCTGTAATGTAATCTGAAAATTTATTTCATTGCTATAAAACGTTTTTATCAGAGTAAATACAACCTTAAAATACCTGAACTTCTCATCTGCTCCACTGCTTTCACGTTGATCTGTAGAGAGCAACGGGCAGGAAAAGGAGAAAGCAGTACACTTTTCGTTTTGCGCCGCACACTGTCTGCAAACCTTCCCACGAGCGCCGCAGATAAGTTTCAGAAAACGCGAACAAAGCAGTATCGCCTTACAACAGCAATATTCCTATTTTAAGATTTCCTATGCTGCGACTGTCACCGCACTGGCTATGTCACACTACTTGATTCATGCACAACACAAACAGGAGAGGGGGCAGAACATAATCTTGGCGCGGCAAATAGCACCAACGAACAGAGCCAAAAGTTTCGATCTAACGCCGTTTACTCTCACAGCACCTACTGTCTCCCTATAATGATTGGATGGTCAGTATTAACTGGTCATTGATCCCTTATGTTTGCAGGCGTGCGCTAGACTGTTGCGCCGGATTCGGTGATAGATCTCTAAATCAATTGAGTGCATGTCTACTAGATAGGCGAACTCTAAAGGTTGAATAATCTGAAGTGAGGTAAAAATCCGGTCCGATGCGCTTCTTCCGGGTGAAAAGCCGTGTTTCTCTCCTTGTATCTGTGAGTCATTTATTCACCGGCACCTCCTGTCTAGCACCTTGGAGTAGACTTTAATCAGTAAGCTCAATAATGCAAAATCCCGAAACTGGAGCATTCACCGAGGTTTCCCTTCTTGAACAGGGGTTCTCTAATACTCGTTCTCCGGTCCGCTAGTTTCGTCCCGAAAATTTTACAGACTCTTATAAGTCAGCACATGACTGTTTGCCTAACGCTTTGAACTTTTCAGCATGGATTTCATCAGTTCCAGCAGCTTTTCTACTTTTCAAGCTTCACACAGCTTGCGTAATTTTATCTACATAAATATTAATATAACTCCGCCATGGCCGGTCCCAAGCCCGGATGAGAAAGGAGGAGGGTTGGAGACCGTAGCAAGTCTCC